GAATACACCTGACAGCTTACTACAAACTTTGTGGTTTTATAATACCGTTCATTTTGGTCTCCGGGGCTCGGCAGAACATATAGGGACATGTGTTGGGGTGACGTAACTCTTGGAAATGATGGGTGGGGATGGACAAGAATTTCTGGAATTTACTGAACGCCAAACTAAAACAAGAACGGGAGAAAATCCTCATGATATTAGAACTTTGGGCAAATTTCGAAAACCCTGACAGGTGCCCTGTGACAATTTATAAACTTTACCGTGAAAAACGCCCGACTGGCTAGGTGCCCCATCTGATCCTGTTTACGCAGCAACTAAACACATATCATCGCCTAATAATCCAATTTGGTTCAAGAAACAGCCAGTAGGAGTCAATAAATTGTGCACCATGATGCAAAGAATGATCAAGTTGTCGGGAATCGAAACTGAAAAACATCTGTCAAATCACAGCGCTCGGAAATATCTTGTTCAAAAACTCAGTGACAGTAATGTTCCCCCTCCACCCACCCAAATTATGCAAATTTCAGGACACAAAAACATTTCATCAATACACAACTATAGCCATATCAACACAGACCAACACAAGCAAATTTCACGAATCCTGAGCTCTAGAAAAGCCGTTCTGTCATGATCACCTGCCAACATGTCAGGCCTATTTCCACGTGTTTCACAAAATCGTCAAGTTCTTCATCTTCGATGTCAGATTAGTGGCGGTTTTGAATCAATTATCAGTGGTCCGATTAGTGGAGGGAACATTAAAATTGATATTTACCAAGGTGGTCCATCAAAACCACCAAAAAAAAAACGTAGCCGAAAAACTGTCATTGAAAGTGACAGCGACTCTCAGTAGGCCTGCTGTGATTGCTTGAAACGGCATATGAGGCATGACGTCACAAAATTGTAAACTTTATAAAGTGATTTTCTTCTGATAAAATTTCATGTCTTGACTATTTAATGAATTGGAAATGTTTATTTTGCCATTGTTATTTCATTGCATTTAAAACTGTTCATAATTTAAATAAACAAATCTGGAACTACTTTTCATTGCGCGGAACGGCAATACTATGATCGGAGTACTTTGGTTTTGACCTATATAGAGTCAGCTGATAACCAATAGATGTGTTTGAATTCAATTCAATAGTTGTGCTTGAATTCATTTCATTCAATAAATCGATATGACACTCGCCTAAAGGCCCGTGTCATATCAAATTATTGACTCGTTTAATAAATTCAATATGACATGGACACTCATGTAAGATCCTCTATATCTTAACTCGGCCACAGGTGAAGACAAAAACAAGCTTGCCAGAAGAGGGACATAGTGTGTTCCCACTGTAAAGAGTACAGTCTGCTTGAAATACTTACTACCAAACTCTATGGAACGCCAAATTAACATATATTCAATCAATTGTACATATCTTCAAATAATTGAAAATAGGTACAATTAATTAAAGATAGGCAAAGATAGACCTACAATTATTTGTACCTATCTCCAATTGAATTGTACCTATCTTCAATTAATTGTACCTATCTTCCATTATTTAAATATATGTTAATTTGGCGTTCCATAAAATTCAACAAACACATATTCAACCCGGCAGGAACTTAATCCTTCTCACGATTTCATCGTCGGTGTATAGCTTACATTTGTCGGTATATAGCTTACATCGTCGGTATATAGCTTACATCGTCGGTGTATAGCTTACATTTGTCGGTATATAGCTTACGTTATATAGCTTACATCGTCGGTATATAGCTTACATCGTCGGTGTATAGCTTACATTTGTCGGTATATAGCTTACATCGTCGGTATATAGCTGACATTATATAGCTTACATTTGTCGGTATATAGCTTACATCGTCGGTATATAGCTTACATCGTCGGTATATAGCTTACATTTTTCGGTATATAGCTTACATCGTCGGTATATAGCTGACATTATATAGCTTACATTTGACGGTATATAGCTTACATCGTCGGTATATAGCTGACATTATATAGCTTACATTTGACGGTATATAGCTTACATCGTCGGTATATAGCTGACATTATATAGCTTACATTTGTCGGTATATAGCTTACACCGTCGGTATATAGCTTACGTTTGTCGGTTTATAGCTTACATCGTCGGTATATAGCTTACATCCTCGGTGTATAGCTTACATTTGTCGGTATATAGCTTACGTTATACAGCTTACATCGTCGGTATATAGCTTACATCGTCCGTATATAACTTACATTTGTCGGTATATAGCTTACATCGTCGGAATATAGCTTACATCGTCGGTATATAGCTTACATCCTCGGTGTATAGCTTACATTTGTCGGTATATAGCTTACATCCTCGGTATATAGCTTACATCGTCGGTGTATAGCTTACATTTGACGGTATATAGCTTACATCGTCGGTATATAGCTGACATTATATAGCTTACATTTGTCGGGATATAGCTTACATCGTCGGTATATAGCTTACATTTGTTGGTATATAGTTTACATCGTCGGTATATAGCTTACATTTGTCGGTTTATAGCTTACAGGTATATAGCTTACATTTTTCAGTATATAGCTTACATTTGTCGGTATATAGCTTACATCGTCGGTATATAGCTTACATTTGTCGGTTTATAGCTTACATCGTCGGTATATAGCTTACATTTGTCGGTATATAGCTTACATTTGTCGGTATATTGCTTACATCGTCGGTATATAGCTTACATTTGTCGGTTTATAGCTTACATCGTCGGTATATAGCTTACCTCGTCGGTATATAGCTTACATTATTTAACTTTCTTCGTCGGTATATAGCTTACATTATTTAACTTTCTTCGTCGGTATATAGCTTACATTAAATAGCTTACATCGTCGGTATATAGCTACATTTGTCGGTATATAGCTTACATCGTCGGGATATAGCTTACATTATATAGCTTATATCGTCGGTATATAGCTTACATTTGTCTGTTTATAGCTTACAGGTATATAGCTTACATTTTTCAGTATATAGCTTACATTTGTCGGGATATAGCTTACATTATATAGCTTATATCGTCGGTATATAGCTTACATTATTTAACTTTCTTCGTCGGTATATAGCTTACATTAAATAGCTTACATCGTCGGTATATAGCGTACATTTGTCGGTTTATAGCTTAAAGGCATATAGCTTACATTTTTCAGTATATAGCTTACATTTGTAGGTATATAGCTTACATCGTCGGTGTATAGCTTACAATTGACGGTATATAGCTTACGTTATATAGCTTACATCGCCGGTATATAACTTACATCGTCGGTATATAGCTTACATTAAATAGCTTACATCGTCGGTATATAGCGTACATTTGTCGGTTTATAGCTTACAGGGATATAGCTTAAATTTTTCAGTATATAGCTTACATTTGTAGGTATATAGCTTACATCGTCGGTATATAGCTTACATTTGTCGTGTTAATACAAAAATATGCTCAAACGTATATAGTTTACGATCATGTATTTTTATCACTGTCCGCCTGTCTCAAAAAATAAAAGGAACTTAGGGGATCGTTTAGTTTGATATGATTTGGTAACCTTGATTTAATGGCACTAAGAATGGTAGTAAGAAGGCTGGATAGTGTCTTGGTTGAGCAACTAGCAGAGTGAGCTGTAACAAGTTGTTTATAACGATTCTTGTGAAGTTTCGGAATTCAATACAAACGAGACAGGTCCGTATTAACATGTGAACAATTGAACGATTGTAATGCCAGATCGTCATTAGCTAGTATCTCGTCTAGTGTCGAATTCTTTTTGCAAGCAGGAAATATAAAAGTGTTTGCGGACAGGGATTGAGTGTTCAGATGCTGTGTCTGCAAACACAACAACGTACTTATTAGCATGGAGTGTGCGTTGGATTTCAGACAAGAACTAAAGACATGTGTTTTGTTTTCGTAATGGGTTTCTGGTTTTTTTGTCAAATATTGTTTATAACCAGTATCAACAATTAATTTCTTGCTCACACTGTAATACAAAAAGTATGCTACATATATATATATATATATATATATATATTAATTGATAAAAAGACTGAGTGTGCTATGAATTTCGGTACATTGTTTGGTTTTATAACGAATTTTGATAGTATATCTATAAAAAAAAGTTTACTAATTTCTGTCCCTGCTCGTTTATATAGGCCTACTTATAACATCACTGTACCCAAAATGGGACACTTAAATTGTGGCAAAACGGCCGAGGAAACTGTCACGCAATGTAAAGAAGTATTTTTATGCAGTTTTCACTTGATGATACTTTTATGACAATTTAAGTGTATATTAGCTTGATTGGCTGCTGATTATCGTCACATGGACAATGTAAAGGCACGGACTTAGATAGCATCAAAGGTAAGAATAATTAGCAAAAAAAAACCAAGACTTTCCTGATTTACATGCCGTGCGACGCTATTTGTTTGGATATCATTTTCAAATGTCTATTTTATCAAATCTAATACTAGTTTTGAGAAGAAATTTAATGGGAACCACCTTTGACTCTAAGATATTTGAATCCTTTCAGCACGTGCTTTCAGAGTACAGTAACATCTGTTCAAGGCAGCATAGAACCGCGCTAAAAAATCCATCTTGTAGTAGAAATGAAAATTGGATGGTATCTATTTATAAAAAAAATAACAAACGTTTTTGGAATTGATCGATACTATGGTAAAAGGTACATTGAAGAGTCCTGTTTGGGGTAACAGTGCACGTGGTTAGTGCTGAGCGTCGGACAACATAACCCAAGTAATGGCTTATAAGATATTACAAGTCTGCTAACAAACGTTTAAACTAACCAATATTTTCACGGCTTTTTTTTTTTTAGTGTTTGGTGGCTTTGTTCTTGCCTCCATAACTTAAGCCCAGAATAATTTTGAAAATGATGAACTAGCATCTTTAATCCTATTCCAATTTCGCCCAATCAGACGATACGTTACATATTTTCCTCAATGTTGTCGTTTGTTCGGCTACTCTCGGATGTTTTCTCAGTACGTGCAGATAACACTAGAGAACGCCTTGAAGCAGATGACTTGTCAGACGTAGAAAATGGATTATGTAGACGGTTAGTAAGGTTGTTTAAAAACATGATGTTGACATATTTCTATAAACATTGCAAAGGCATTTTAGATAAAGATCTGTTGTTGATATCTATATCAGCAACAACACTGATATCGTTTAACAAATGAAACCTTGTCCGCGATCCGCTGACCATTTCCTAGTTCGTTCTGTCGTCTGGGATCTATTTTGATACTTAGTAACTTAGTAAAATAAGATGCGTAGGTACACGTCTACAAGTATATGTATCTCGATGGTTGTTCGCTTATGATAGCCTGAACGTTGGATCAATAAATCATGCCTGACATTTTAAGATCTGTCACCCATTTCTCTGGAATAACATTAGGGCCCTGCATTTTCTAGATGTATTTCCATAGGAAAATCTGAAAATCTGTTTCCTACACTTGAGTGTATGTGTTAAATGTTTAATAGTAATCAGTCTGATCAAGCCCTAATTTTGTATGACATCCCATTGTGGGTTTTTTGGGGGGAGGAGGTTATGATTGTTAGAATTATTCTATTTGTTAAAATGTATTTGAGAAGAATAATCCCTTGTACATATATCCTGTATTTGATGAATGTAAACAATAACAGTTACTGCCTCTATGTTGTCTACTATATTGTCTTAGTGATCATGGGGAATATTTTGCTGTGTATTTGTATACCAACAGGTACGTTTACATACGAGAGTGCAACTGTAGCCTGTGCTGACTTCCCCAAAACTGAGGAACCAGTGTACATCTTAGGGAAAGTCTACAGTGCACTACATGGTAATACACATTGTTAAAGCATACTAAACACAATAACACATCTAACACAAAGTCCGCAACTCGCACCATGGTGACAATGTAATTGTAACCAGATTAACAGCAGTCCGTAATCATCAAATGATTGAAGGAGGACTGGATGACTAAAGAAGAACAGTTTAGTAACAGCGAGGCACTACACTCTGTCCATATACTCTACAATCCTTCCTTACTTCCATAACAACACTATTTACTTTTGTACAACCCAGGTTCAGACAACACCTTATCAAATAATTATTTAGGCAGATTTTAATTGAACATGGGACTACGGTGGCCTTCTAGCTTAATCTTCAAGCTAGAGGAAATATCCCTCTAGCTCAGTGGTAGAGCGTCCAACTAGGAACCTAGGGACCGCGGCGTCGATCCCCAATGAAAGCACACTATTCTCTTTCCTGTTACATATGATGTCCTTGTCCAACCTTGTGGTGACAGGGAGTTAGAACCTGGGCTATGGTGTTCAAGGACAAACACATTTAAAAAGGGGCGAGTAGTGTGGATGTTTCTAATTGTACAAAGGATTATGGTCGCCTTCTAGCTTGAAGCTAGAGGGAATATCCCTTTAGCTCAGTGCTAAAGGAACCTATAGGATTGTGGGTTCAATCTCAGACGGAAGCACACTACTCTCTTTCCTGTTACAATATTACTTGCAACATTAAGGCTCCCCTGCAGGTTTGGGTAAAGTAGGACTGCTGTATCCCAATACTTGTCGTAAAGTATGACTGCTGGGGGGTCCCTGCAATAATTGATCTGCTAGCGCTCTCCCCATTTCAACACTTTGGATCTATATAAATCTGAAAACCTTTTTGTTTCCTAGTGTCTTGCTTGACATTATGCCTCACTTATGGTTTTCGTGTTGAGCGTTTGCCCAATTGCAAGTGGGGTATAGGCAATGGGGCCAAGGGGTATTTTCTTTTACGCTATGATGTCTATTTTTTCATGGTAATTTCTTTTCTGCTGTTCATGTTTTTTTTTCTAAATTATTCTTCCGTGATAATTCCTTTTTACTTGATGTTATTATCTTTACATCTCCTCATTCTAGTATATTAACACATTGTACATAAACAGCACAGACACATTACATGTTATAACTAGGGTACACACTGTAACACTGTATAAATTTACAAATACACATTTAAAAATACACATGAAAAAATACACATTTACAAAAAAGTGTAATACGAAAACAATTCTGACCTTTCCATGTTACAAAAGTAGTAATCTAACATAAGCTGAAAACTCAATAATGTCAACCCAAGGTTATCCATGATTGCTTGAAACCCTAGCTTACGACTAAAGCAGTGATATCTCCTCATTTTCCTTGGCTGTTATGACAGACAAGGATCAAGTATGTAACAGGATAGAAAAAAACTCTGATTTTACCTGTTTTAACCACTTGACTCATCGTTTTTCATGCTCGAATGTTAATTTTCAGATATGCATGCTTGTTCTACTTTAAATAAAACAGTATAAGAATAAACATGATCTAATGACTGCCACCCTGTAATAATTTAATGGATGATTTCAGACCGAGAGGAGCTGCGGCATGACTTTGTGTCGAGGTTATGGTTGACATACAGGAGAAATTTCCCTGCTGTAGGTAACGTATCAACCATACGATCAGCTCCATACTCCCAGCTCAAAGTAGGATATCAGTTTTCTTGTGAGCTAAAAACTGATGGATGTTGTAACTGATTTATACCTTTTCTATCATTTAATTTTATGGAATACCTGACAGATTTTTTTTCACTTTTTGAACTTGAATGCAAAAATAATGCTTGTTGTCCAGGCTGTTGGAACTAGTGTATATAATCAGATGTTCCTTATTGAAAACCATTCATCTATACAATATAAAATTAAGTGAAGGATATGTTAAATTGGTAATGCACAAGTCGGCCAGCGCAATACCTGGGACTAGTAGATTTTGACAATACAGCTTGGGCTTGTAGAATTTGACATTTTCTGCCTGCAGTCTAGTGCTGGAAATATGCAGTTGTACACCTTGGTTTCAGCATATTTTCCAAATAATAACACTTTTTTTTGTAACATGTCTTTCAATCTGTTGATGCTTTAGACAATTCCTTATCGGTATGGGTATAAATACTCCTAGTAAAACACCACGATAATCAGTTTTTATCACGTTGATTAACTGGTAGTTGTTAAGATTAAAATTGTGTGTGACAGGTGGTACAGGTCCCACAGGAGACACAGGTTGGGGATGTATGTTGCGCTGTGGTCAAATGATGTTAGCTCAAGCCCTTCTCGTTCACCATTGTGGAAGAGGTAAGTTTTATTCATAATATAATAAAATACTTCAGAGGTAATTTCTTACTTCTCCATCATAATTTCTGCTGAAATACATCTATCCCTTGTCTCACAGAACAGCTAGCCCTTGTGTAACAGAACAGCCCTTGTCCAACAGAACAGCTAGTCCTTGTGTAAAAGAACAGCTAGTCCTTGTGTAACAGAACAGCCCTTATGTAACAGAACAGCCCTTGTGTAACAGAACAGCTCGCCCTTGTGTAACAGAACAGCCCTTGTCCAACAGGACAGCTAGTCCTTGTGTAACAGAACAGCTAGCCCTTGTGTCACAGAACAGCTAGTCCTTGTGTAACAGAACAGCGAGCCCTTGTGTAACAGAACAGCTAGTCCTTGTGTAACCGAACAGCTAGTCCTTGTGTAACAGAACAGCTAGCCCTTGTGTCACAGAACAGCTAGTCCTTGTGTAACAGAACAGCTCTTGTGTAACAGAACAGCTAGTCCTTGTGTAACACAACAGCTAGTCCTTGTGTAACAGAACAGCCCTTGTACAACAGAACAGCCCCTGTCCAACAGAACGGCTATAGCTAGTCCTTGTGTACCAGAACAGCCCTTGTCCAACAGAACAGCCCTTGTCCAACAGAACAGCGAGCCCTTGTGTAACAGAACAGCTAGTCCTTGTGCAACAGAACAGCTAGTCCTTGTGTACCAGAACAGCTAGCCCTTGTGTAACAGAACAGCTAGGCCTTGTGTAACAGAACAGCCCTTGTCCAACAGAATGGCTAGACCTTGTGTAACAGAACAGCCCTTGTCCAACAGAACAGCCCTTGTCCAACAGAACGGCTAGACCTTGTGTAACAGAACAGCCCTTGTGTAACAGACCAGCCCTTGTGTAACAGGACAGCCCTTGTGTAACAGAACAGCCCTTGTCCAAAAGAACAGCTAGTCCTTGTGTAACAGAACAGCCCTTATGTAACAGAACAGCCCTTGTGTAACAGAACAGCCCTTGTCCAAAAGAACAGCTAGTCCTTGTGTAACAGAACAGCCCTAGTCCATCAAAACGGCTAGCCCTTGTGTAACAGAACAGCCCTTGTCAAACAGAACAGCTAGTCCTTGTCAAACAGAACAGCTAGCCCTTGTCAAACAGAACAGCTAGCCCTTGTGTAACAGAACAGCTAGTTCTTGTGTAACAGAACAGCTAGTCCTTGTGTAACACAACAGCTAGTCCTTGTGTAACAGAACAGCCCTTGTCAAACAGAACAGCTAGTCCTTGTCAAACAGAACAGCTAGCCCTTGTCAAACAGAACAGCTAGCCCTTGTCCAACAGAACAGCTAGCCCTTGTGTAACAGAACAGCTAGGCCTTGTGTAACAGAACAGCCCTTGTCCAACAGAACAGCCCCTGCCCAACAGAACGGCTATAGCTAGTCCTTGTGTAACAGAACAGCCCTTGTCAAACAGAACAGCTAGTCCTTGTCAAACAGAACAGCTAGCCCTTGTCAAACAGAACAGCTAGCCCTTGTGTAACAGAACAGCTAGGCCTTGTGTAACAGAACAGCCCTTGTCCAACAGAATGGCTAGCCCTTGTGTAACAGAACAGCCCTTGTCAAACAGAACAGCTAGTCCTTGTCAAACAGAACAGCTAGCCCTTGTCAAACAGAACAGCTAGCCCTTGTGTAACAGAACAGCTAGGCCTTGTGTAACAGAACAGCCCTTGTCCAACAGAATGGCTAGCCCTTGTGTAACAGAACAGCCCTTGTCAAACAGAACAGCTAGTCCTTGTGTAACAGAACAGCTCTTGTGTAACAGAACAGCTAGTCCTTGTGTAACACAACAGCTAGTCCTTGTGTAACAGAACAGCCCTTGTTTAACAGAACAGCCCTTGTCCAACAGAACAGCTAGCCGTTGTGTAACAGAACAGCTAGTCCTTGTGTAACAGACCAGCTAGTCCTTGTGTAACAGAACAGCTAGTCCTTGCGTAACAGAACAGCCCTTGTGTAACAGAACAGCTCGCCCTTGTGTAACAGAACAGCCCTTGTCCAACAGAATGGCTAGACCTTGTGTAACAGAACAGCCCTTGTCCAACAGAACAGCCCCTGCCCAACAGAACGGCTATAGCTAGTCCTTGTGTAACAGAACAGCCCTTGTCCAACAGAACAGCCCCTGTCCAACAGAACGGCTATAGCTAGTCCTTGTGTAACAGAACAGCCCTTGTCCAACAGAACAGCTAGCCCTTGTGTAAAAGAACAGCCCTTGTCCAACAGAATGGCCCTTGTCTGATATTAATTTTGATGTGAAATATGTTTCATTTGTCATGTTGAAATGAAGTAAATATTTTATAGCATCATATAAGGTACCAGTAGGTGTAGTGTAGGAGAACGGTGGTGTAGCTTAACAGACAAGGAATATACATATATACAGTTTATTTACACAGTAATACTCTATACGCATACCTATGATTATACATACACCTCATTCACTCATTCATACTGATGAATATTTACAATGAAACTATAAGATATATTTATATATAAAGTTCATGGCCTTTCTCTGTGCTGTATCTCCTTCAAGTGTCTCACTGAATGTCTGTTCAATTCTGGTCCCAGTGGAAAACGATATCTGTCTCGATGACGTTAGCACCATTGAACTTCCCGGAATTCCCGGTTTCCACCCGATATCATCTGCTGATGACGAGGAATGACATAAGCTGTAGCCACAGCACCATACCAGCTTTCTGTCCCATAAATGTTGTCACTCCGACCCCTATGTGCTTTCTGGAGCACCAATGTTGTAGACAGTCTTGCGAGTGTATTCACAATGTGGAACCAATGTTTAGTTGATTGTTTTATCCACAATCCACCTTAGGCCATATATCTCCGAGTTGGAACCAGACATCCTGTTTCATAGGTGGTCACGATGACTGTCTGGTTTTTCGGCCTTCTCAAAATGACACACATCTTAACGCAACAATGGCTAATGCCTGTGTGTGAACATTACTTATGTGGTCAGTCCAACTTTCTATTATAGCTTACCCGTGAATAGCGGAACGAGATATAGATAATATAAAATACAGAGATACTCACTTACCATCCTAATATGCTTCGTGACAGTAGGTGCCATGATAAAAAGGATTTGTTGCAATGCAGCAGAAGTCTTGGTTTCCTCATAGTCATATCAGTGAGGATGTAAGTGGACAGCTTTGCATTAGCAGCACATTGTCCCCTTATAAGTCATTACCCTTAAATCTCAATACCGTAAACAAAAAGGTATAAGCTCATTTTGAAAATTCCCTTCTCTCCAAGATGATGGACCTTGCAAATCAACAATTTTTATTGTGTTAAAAAATAATAATAACTGAAAACATTTACAGGTATGTAATTAGCACAAGTTACAAGATTTTGACGGTAAATGATTTTGAATATTCTTAGCAATATTCAGCTATGACTAGGACTAGTAAATACCTTACATATGCCAGTTTTTTGCAAAGGGAGAAGAAAAAATAGATAAGTAATAGTTATGTAAAAATATTGTACTTAAGTTGCATAGTTACCAGCCCAATAAAGCTAATCCGTTGTGACATCGTAATTAGTTAGATTCTGGCAGCAACAAGTTGTCCAGTCAGAGCTAACAGCTTGGTGATGATGTTTTGAAACGTTATCTAAAACAGAAAACATTCAACAGATTTCCACTGATGTATTTCATTGGTATGAGTTAATTTCAGTTTTATTTTCAAGAGAGAACTTAACATGTAGGTAGAGTCAAGTCTCAGTACATTTCATTCCTACTTTGATACTGGTTGTTTACAGACTGGAGGTGGGCCGAGGACGGACGGCGGGAAGACATGTACTGGAAGATTCTTAGTATGTTCCAGGACAAAAAGAGTGCCTACTACTCTATACAGCAGATAGGTGAGTATATCATGGTTGTCTGTTTAAAACTGCTGTGTACAAAGCATGATCTGTAGAGAGAACAATCACTAAACAGTTATGTTTTCATAAAACACAATATTTAAGTATTTTTGAGTATACGATCTCCAAACCATGTGTGTAAACAACCTAATCTCTAAACAATGTTGTCTATACTATATAATTTCTAAATGATGTTGTTTTTCAACAAAATCTCTAAACAATGATGTGTATATAAAATACCATTTCTAAAAACAGTGGTGTATGCGCAAAATATATCCAAACCATGATGTGCTAACACAATCTCAATTGGTACAGCACTCTCTTTTAAAAAAAGTGTATTCTGCAAACTTTCGTAACATTTGTAAGTATACAGCTGATCTGTCACAAAACCATTTCATGTCAGAGGTCAATGCCTGTATGTTAAGTGGCCAAGTGGTTACGGCATCTGACATTCTGCTACCTCTAGCCATCCACCAATTGGTCATGGGTTCGAGGCCTACTCACTGGGGCAGTTGCCTGGTACTGGCCATAGGCCACCACCAAAATCTGGCACGTCCTTAAAATGACCATAACTGTTCATTAGGAGGCGTAAAACACAAATAAACCAAACATAAATGCATGTTTTTTTTGTAATGAAGAACTCAAACCTTCTCCTTTGGCAACACTGCTGGTAGGATATTGCTGTTAAATTCATTTGACCTAATATACATATAGTTCCCTGGTCTCTAACCAATTCAGGGGAATTAAAACGTAAAGGATTAAGAGAACCTTCCAAAACTCTCAAATTATAATAGACACTTTCTTCATATATGTTGGTAAATGACGGTTGGGACTCTCGGACCAGGTAAAAGGATAGAGGGAAGGTGCTCTTACTAGGTCATACACAGTATAAGTAGTATAATTGTCATGATCACCAGATGACTCGCTCAAGTACCGGTACTATGTTCCATGCAGCTTTGCTGTTCTAGTTCAGGTCTTTAAGGAGACTACATAGAAATATAAATTCAAAGTCAATAAAGGCTATTTGGTCAAGTACAGATTAATTTAGGAATGACCTTTGACTGGTGCTTACAGTATAAATGTGGGAGGTTTATCAAAATAACATTTAACCTTTCTCGTTTTCACAGCATCTATGGGTGTGTCCGAGGGAAAGGCAGTTGGCCAGTGGTTTGGACCCAACACCGTGGCACAAGTGCTAAAGTAAGATTTCTCAAAGGTTAATGAATCTTTAATGTCTGAGTTCTACATCATCATTCTTGTGTTGTTCAGGAAACTGCTGGTTTATGGTGGGATATATTTTTGTGATGTCGAGGAAGCTAAATCTTGTGTGTGTTAGGAAGCTGATAATTTTATGATACTTTTCTTGTCTTGTTTAGGTGATTTGTGATGAGAAAGATATATTGGAATATGACAAGATACTTGTACTAGTCTCCAAATGGTACTACCAGAGGCAGGGATCAATCCAGGTTTTATGGGAATCTACCTTTTTCAGATTTGGGGAAATTAAAATTTTGGTACACGGCTCTGGTGTCACGAAGGTTTAAGATAAAGGTTTTGTCCGACATACATGCATGCAGTATATTTCAATTTATAAACAATTCTAAGCTTAAAATTGTAGACTTTCTGTTTATTTTATGTGAAAAATATGTATATATGCAGTATTATGCATTTTAACTGTTAAACTTAAAAGAAAACATATAGGGGAAATTTTTTGAAGAAAAATCGCTATTTTCTTGTTGAAATAGGGGAAATTTGAAGCACATAGGGGGAATTTCAAAGGACAGGGGAATTTTCTTCTGATGGGGAAACTACCCATAATTATAAACGATAGTGAATCAAGTCTAGATTGATCTCAGCTCAGAGGGGGCAGAGGGGGCTATAGTTGGTACTATCATAGTCTGTCTGTCAGTCTATCTGTGTATTTTTGTTGGGATATATATATTCTTGCATACTCTGTCACCTACGAATGCAAAAATTTGTGTGCAAGAAACTTTGGGAATGGCAAAGGCGTGTCACTGAAAACTGAAATCAGTGCCTTTTAAATGTACATATCTTTAGGAAGTTGATAGCTTATGACAACATATTTGTTGGTGCTCTAGGAAATGGGTAGATTATAATGACATACATGTATTCTTGTTTTCTGAAGGAAGCTGGCAGTTTATGATGATTGGTCCAATCTTGTAATACATGTAGCTATGGACAACACTGTGATAGAAAATGATATTCGTGAGTATCAACATTTATCAATAATAACCTCACTTAGTCTTACCATGCTAGTAATGTCAGCAAAAATAATCCCACAAACTTTGCTGTGTAAAGTGAAATGACAATCGGTTATTTCATTGGTACATAAAGAAATCATTTCCAGAAATGAAGTGTCTTTTTCCATGTTTTTAGCTCAGCTGCCTGAATGACAAATGAACTAATTAAGCTGTGATGCTGTGATCATCATCATCTGTTTTCTACTTTTCGCAAAAAAACCTTCTTATCCAGAATAGTTGAATGGATTTTGACAAAATTTGTAGAAGAGCATTACTGGGCTAATGGGGCTCACTATTTATATACATGAAAGGCTTGGCTTTTCTTGGGGCAGAGGGATGGGGCCCTATAGTGTAAATTATATAAATCTTTTAAGTCCTATTCCTTGAAAATGGGTAAATGGATGATTTTAATGTTAATTGGTCTGACGCATCCTTGTGCCAAAGGTATTCATTGTTGTATAAATGGAATGTGTTTCTCTCCTGGGGGCTGCAGGGCCCAATTGAGAAGAGATGTGTAAATCTTAAAATATCCGTGAGTATGGGTAAAGAGGTTTTCGCCTGATTCGACCTGTTTTTGTTGAAGATCCTAATTAGTTTATTCTAATATTCAGAGTTTGTTGGAGATTTCAAGTTCTATCATAAATGCTGAAGAACATACAGTTAAGCAAAACTAAACATTCACATAGCAAGTTTATCAAATAGGTTGTTTTATCAGATATTTTCTGATTTTCTTTAAGTATATCTGAATGTTTTATCTAATAAAAACCACATCAGGTGTCCTAGAATAATAAAATCAGTATTGTTTAGGAATGTCTCACCTTTGACCTTGTGTCTTCAGGAGGTCTGTGTCAGGAAGGTAGAGAGTCAGAAAGCTGTGATATTATGGGATGTCAGAATGAAAAGGGAGCAGAAGGCGGACCAAGACACTTTGACAAAAACCACAAACTCAAAGGGAAGCCAGGATGTTGGAAACCTCTTCTTCTTGTTATTCCACTTAGACTAGGTCTAACAGACATCAACTCTGTATATATAGAAAGTCTGAAAGTAAGTACTGCTGTGATTAATAGTATACCACCTAGTCTAGATCTTGTTTATATCAACTGTGTATAATTCTGTTAAACTTCCTGGGGAATGAGATTGATAACGTTAACCCAATCAGCCAAAGTCTAAAAAGAAGAACCCATAATAATCAATTTTCCAAGTAATTAAGTCACTTAATTCCGCCGTCAGACCTCTCGAGAGACCGGTTTTATGTCACTGCAATCTGGATACAATTTTGGATACATCTTAAATGATTTGTTTTATTGTTTTGAAAAATAGAGGTTCTATATGGTAAAGAAATGGGAAGTTCATTCCTGAAAAACTTTCGTAATATGGAATTCAGTAATCCTATCTAAATAGGCTCAAACCTACAGACTGTAGCTGGATTATAGACATGATGCTAGAACACTGATTCACTTCCCATTATCTACCAACATGATTCTTTCAGCAAAATTACACATGTACGCCTTCATATATATATATTTGTATATAGAGGTCTCATAAGAAATAATGACAGTATGGTTAAGTATGGATATACAAACGGCAGCCATCAGTTGTTGTCAAGATCACACCATAAAATTTGTCGGTGTTAAAAGTTTCACTGTGTATTATATTCTGTATTAAGCATAGGTATTTGAGCTGTATTCTAATATTAGCACTTTTTGTGCTTTAATTATTGTGCTAATTGATGTCTTTGTACATGTATGTATTTTTCAATTGCTTATATTGAGTGCCCCAATTCATCAATGCTCTTATATTTGTAAATTAAAAACCCTTGAATTTGCGTCTTCTAAAATAAGTACTCTAACTGTATCTGATGTAGCCTAGAATCACAGGATACATATATAACATGTTTGTTTAAGTTACATATCTGATATAGCCTAAAATACAAGTGTACTTACTGTAGTGCTATATGTCCTGTGTTACAGAGATGTTTTACCTTCAAACAAAGTGTAGGTATAATTGGAGGTCGACCAAACCATGCTCACTGGTTTGTAGGGTCCTTAGGTACGTATCAAGGTTATAACTTTACCACCTGTTGTTGATATTTTGTTGGTACTTTAAATACTTTTTGTGTTAAAAATCATTTCATTTCAACAACCTTTTAATTTATTTACACAACTGTACATAATACAAAACAAAAATCAAATATGTAGGAGAGTGATAATGGCATTAAGAGTGATTCTTCAAAATTTAACTAAAACCTTTGACCTTTATAAAATCCTGTACCCTGTGATATCTGTATAATCCTGTACACTGTACCTAGTGACCTCTGTATAATCTTATACACTGTACCTAGTGACCTCTGTATAATCTTATACACTGCACCTAGTGACCTCTGTATAATCTTATACACTGTACCTAGTGACCTCTGTATAATCCTGTACACTGTACTTAGCGACCTCTGTATAATCATGTACAATGCACTAAGTGACAACTGTATAATCCTGTACACTGTACCCAGTGATCTCTATAATCCTGTACACTATAACCTGTTACCTCTGTATGATACTGTACACTGTGACCTTTGTATAATCCTGTACACTGTTTCCAGTGACCTCTGTATAATCCTGTACACTGTACCCAGTGACCTCTGTATAATCCTGTACACTGTACCCAGTGACCTCTGTATAATCCTGTACACTGTACCCAGTGACCTCTGTATAATTCTGTACACTGTACCCAGTGACCTCTGTATAATCTTATACACTGTACCCAGTGACCTCTGTATAATCTTATACACTGCACCTAGTGACCTCTGTACAATCTTATACACTGTACCTAGTGACCTCTGTATAATCCTGTACACTGTACTTAGCGACCTCTGTATAATCATGTACAATGCACTAAGTGACAACTGTATAATCCTGTACACTGAACCTGTGACCTCTGTATAATCCTGTACACTGTACCCAGTGATCTCTGTATAATCCTGTACACTATAACCTCTGACCTCGGTATAATCCTGTTCACTATAACCTGTGACCTCTGTATAATACAGTACACTGTACCCAGTGATCTCTGTATAATCCTGTACACTATAACCTGTGACCTCTGTATGATACTGTACACTGTGACCTTTGTATAATCCTTTACACTGTACCCAGTGATCTCTGTATAATCCTGTACACTATAACCTGTGACCTCTGTATGATACTGTACTTAGTGACCTTTGTATAATCCTTTACACTGTACCCAGTGATCTCTGTATAATCCTGTACACTATAACCTGTGACCTCTGTATGATACTGTACTTAGCGACCTCTGTATAATCCTTTACACTGTACCCAGTGACCTCTGTATAATCCTGTACACTATAACCTGTGACCTCTGTATGATACTGTACTTAGCGACCTTTGTATAATCCTTTACACTGTACCCAGTGACCTCTGTATAATCCTGTACACTATAACCTGTGACCTCTGTATGATACTGTACTTAGCGACCTTTGTATAATCCTTTACACTGTACCCAGTGATCTCTGTATAATCCTGTACACTATAACCTGTGACCTCTGTATGATACTGTACACTGTGACCTTTGTATAATCCTTTACACTGTACCCAGTGATCTCTGTATAATCCTGTACACTATAACCTGTGACCTCTGTATGATACTGTACACTGTGATCTTTGTATAATCCTGTACACTGTACCTAGTGACCTCTGTATAATCCTTTACACTGTACCCAGTGACCTCTGTATAATCCTGTACACTGTACCCAGTGATCTCTGTATAATCCTTTACACTGTTCCCTCTGACCTCTGTATAATCCTTTACACTGTACCCAGTGACCTCTGTATAATACTGTACTTAGCGTCCTTTGTATAATCCTTTACACTGTACCCATTGATCTCTGTATAATCCTGTACACTATAACCTGTGCCCTCTGTATGATACTGTACACTGTGACCTTTGTATAATCCTTTACACTGTACCCAGTGATCTCTGTATAATCCTTTACACTGTTCCCTGTGACCTCTGTATAATCCTTTACACTGTACCTAGTGAACTCTGTATAATCCTTTACAATGTACCTAGTGAACTCTGTATAATCCTGTATAATCCTTTACACTGTACCTAGTGAACTCTGTATAATCCTTTACACTGTACCTAGTAAACTCTGTATAATCCTTTATACTGTACCTAGTGAACTCTGTATAGTTCAGTACACTATACCCAGTGAATACTGTACACTGCACTTAGTGACCTTTGTATAATCATTTACATTGTACCCAGTGACCTCTGTATAATCCTGTACACTATAACATGTGACCTCTGTATAATCCTGTACACTGTACCCAGTGACCTCTGTATAATCCTGTACACTTTTCCCTGTGACCTCTGTATAATCCTGTACACTGTACCCAGTGACCTCTGTATAATCCTGTACACTGTACCCAGTGACCTCTGTATAATCCTGTACACTATAACCTGTGACCTTTGTATAATTTTGTAACTTGTGACCTATGTGTAATCCTCTACAATACAAATTTATAAAATATTGCATTTCAACAGTGGAAATCATCTGGTGTCATTTTTTTTTTTTTTCAGATTAGAACATTTTCTCTGAGTATTATCCTAATCTGACTTGGATATTGTGATTCTGTTGATTTAATTCCAATGCTGCTCTAAAAAGCTTCTTTTTATGAAAACCTATTCTCATTGTTGCTTTTCAAACACTTGATTAGAGAAAAGTTGATTTCCTGATTAAAAAGGTTAGTGCATATTTGATATAACTAGCTCACAAAATATGTCTGAAACATAGTACTTGTTTATATTCAGGTGACAAGCTGATATTCCTGGACCCACATACAACACAGGCGGCCACTGACCTGGACGATCCCTCAAGTAGTGATCAGAGCTACCACTGTCAGTATCCCAGCCTGATGAAGGTTACGGAGCTGGACCCGTCCATAGCCGTCGTATGTATCACAAAGTTTGTCCCCTCTATAGGCATCGTATGTGTCACAAAGTTTGTCCCCTCTATAGATAGCATTGTATGTGTCACAAAGTTTGACCCCTCTATAGGCATTGTATGTGTCACAAAGTTTGACCTCTCGATAGGCATCGTATGTGTCACAAAGTTTGACCCCTCTATAGGCATTGTATGTGTCACAAAGTTTGACCCCTCAATAGCCGTCATATGTGTCACAAAGTTTGTCCCCTCTATAGATAGCATCGTAAGTGTCACAAAGTTTGACCCCTCTGTAGGCATTGTATGTGTCACAAAGTTTGACCCCTCTATAGGCATCGTATGTGGCACAAAATTTGTCCCCTCTATAGATAGCATTGTATGTGTCACAAAGTTTGACCCCTCTTTAGCCTTTAAATGTATCACAGAGCTGTACCCCTTTGTAGCTGTAATATGTTATGTGGAATTTCGCCAAATAGCACTCTAATACTACAGGCAGTCAGGGGGATGGGTAACATGTTTTAACATCCACTAAGGGGCGGGAAGGGTAAAGACATGTTACCTGTCCCCCCTGACTGCTTGCAGTATTACTAAGAGTGCTATTTAGTGAAATGTCTCTATAATTTCTGACAGCTGACTTTACCAATTTGGCACACTGTGGCTGAGTGAGTTGTTTACACTGGCACACTGTGGCTGAGTGAGTTGTTTCCACTGGCACACTGTGGCTGAGTGAGTTGTTTTCACTGGTTTAGTGCCGAGATACCGTTTATTCACACACTTTGCTTGACAAAGGAACCTTGTGTTGAAACAAACTTAGTATTTATTGGTATCACAGAGTTTGACTCCTATAAATATGTTGTATGTATTACAGATTTTGACCCTCTTTATCCACACAACATTATAATTATAGTACTATTTGTAACAGGGGTTTTATTGGTATCACAGAGTTTGACTCCTATAAATATGTTGTATGTATTACAGATTTTGACCCTCTTTATCCACACAACATTATAATTATAGTACTATTTGTTACAGGGGTTTTATTGCCGTAATGAGGAAGACTTCACAGACTTCTGTATTCAGGCTCGTAAACACATCACAGATGCCAAAAAGACACCCATGTTTGAAATGTTCCAGGATCGTCCTTCCCACTACCCTCCATACGAACCCTATACTGGGCTGACACCTTCTACCACAGGTACATATTGTATGAAAGAAATAAATTATCATACTTTTGCATTTATACATCAGGCTCGAGTACATATTGTAAACCAGTCAAATGACATTTGTCTGTACTCAGTATCCACATATTTGTCAGTACTAAGTATCCACATATTTGTCAGTACTCAGTATCCACATATTTGTCTGTACTCAGTATCCACATATTTGTCAGTACTCGGTACCCACATATTTGTCATTACTCAGTATCCACATATTTGTCAGTACCCAGTATCCAAACCACATATTTGTCAGTATTCATAAAGTATCCACATATTTGTCAGTACTCATAAAGTATCCACATATTTGTCAGTACCCAGTATCCAAACCACATATTTGTCAATAATCAGTATCCACATATTTGTCAGTAATCAGTATCTGCAGAGTTGTCTTTAATCAGTATCCGCAGAGTTGTCAGTACTCAGTATCCACATATTTGTCAGTACTCAGTATCCACATATTTGTCAGTACTCAGTATC